TACTCTTAGAACATCAACACTTACCATCAATCACCAGTACTCTCTCCACCAAACACTAACATTCTCCAACACCAACATTCACAACCAAAAGCAATCATTCTCCACTAAACACCATTGTTCACCACCAAATTCTGTCATTCACCACTAGACACCAGCATTCACGTCTAAACACCTTGTGTCTGAACACCAAACCAACTATTCACCATTTTCAAACATCTTCATTCATCACCAAACACCATGATTTTTCCGTCAGTAATTCACTGCCAAACACCAATGTTCACCACCAGATTCCTTCACCAAACTCTATCATTCACCATCAAACACCATCATTATCCACCAAACACCAGTCTTCTTAATCAGACACTAACGTTCACTGCCAAACACCATCATTCTTCACCAAACACTAACATTCACAACCAAACACCATCATTCTTTACCAAACATCAACACTTACCCACAAGCACTAGTGTTCTCTCCAGTAAACACTAATATTCCTCCAACACCAATATTCACAACCAAAAAACAATCATTCTCCACTAAACACCAACATTCTCCAAACACCAACGTTCACCTCCAACACCAATATTCACAATCAAAAAACAATCATTCTCCATTAAACACCAACATTCTCCAACAAACACCAACATTCACCTCCAACACCAATATTCACAACCAAAAACAATCATTCTCCACTAAACACCAACATTCTCCAACAAACACCAACATTCACCTCCAACACCAATATTCACAACCAAAAACAATCCTTCTCCACTAAACACCAACATTCTCCAACAAACACCAACATTCACCTCCAACACCAATATTCACAACCAAAAACAATCATTCTCCACTAAACACCAACATTCTCCAACAAACACCAACATTCACCTCCAACACCAATATTCACAACCAAAAACAATCATTCTCCACTAAAAACCAACATTCTCCAACAAACACCAATATTCACAATCAAAAACAATCATTCTCCATTAAACACCAACATTCTCCACTAAACACCAACATTCACCTCCAACACCAATATTCACAACCAAAAACAATCATTTTCCACTAAACACCAACATTCTCCAACAAACACCAACATTCACCTCCAGCACCAATATTCACAACCAAAAACAATCATTCTCCACTAAACACCAACATTCTCCACTAAACACCAACATTCTCCAACAAACACCAACATTCACCTCCAGCACCAATATTCACAAAAACAATCGTTCTCCACTAAACACCAACATTCTCCAACAAACACCAATATTCACAACCAAAAACAATCATTTTCCACTAAACACCAACATTCTCCACTAAACACCAACATTCTCCACTAAACACCAACATTCTCCAACAAACACCAACATTCACCTCCAGCACCAATATTCACAAAAACAATCGTTCTCCACTAAACACCAACATTCTCCAACAAACACCAATATTCACAACCAAAAACAATCATTCTCCTCTAAACACCAACATTCTCCACTAAACACCAACATTCTCCAACAAACACCAACATTCACCTCCAGCACCAATATTCACAAAAACAATCGTTCTCCACTCAACACCAACATTCTCCAACAAACACCAATATTCACAACCAAAAACAATCATTTTCCACTAAACACCAACATTCTCCAACAAACACCAACATTCACCTCCAGCACCAATATTCACAAAAACAATCGTTCTCCACTCAACACCAACATTCTCCAACAAACACCAATATTCACAACCAAAAACAATCATTTTCCACTAAACACCAACATTCTCCAACAAACACCAACATTCTCCTCCAACACCAATATTCACAACCAAAAACAATCATTCTCCACTAAACACCAACATTCTCCAACAAACACCAACATTCTCCTCCAACACCAATATTCACAACCAAAAACAATCATTCTCCACTAAACACCAACATTCTCCAACAAACACCAATTATCTAATATTGGCCGTTCTTTTATAGCGTTCCAGAAAAAGAGCTGTCAAGCCAAATGAACCAGTGTGATTGGGGGAGAATGTTCTAGAACGGTGTTGAATGGGAAGAAAACAATCTAGAAACTGCCTAAGTTGTTGAAGAGTGTTTGGTCTGTATGCTGCACTTCTAACTGTTTTCTCTTTGTCCGGTGGCTTTGTTGCTGGTACAAATCCCTGCAGTCTCTTTCTGCAGTCCATTTACTCTCTATATATAGAGCTTCATTTGTTTTAACCGGACAGCCATTAGCTACTGATGCGGCTTATTCCGAACCGGAAGCCCAGTGGGTCTGTCGCGATCGATACCGCGAGTTGCACGCTGGCTCACTGTGGTGCCCTCTGTTCTGTGAGAGGGAACGTATTAGAGATTTGTGTTAGCATTAGAGAGGTGCTGCTTGTGTATAATGTAAATGTATGTGTGTGATGTGTGGGTTGGTTCTCCTCTGGAGGTTTGAGATAAGTGGGATTGTTAGTCTGTGAGCCATGCGGTTTGTGTGTGTATATGTGTGGCCCATGGTAACTGGAGCTTTGATTAGAGAGGAGCTTGCTTCTGTGCCTCATTAGCACTAACTGTGGGCTGTGGGGTCAACAGGGGTCAAGCTCATGGGGACGGCTGAAGACATGCATGGCTGTCTTCTATGGTGTTCATTTTAGCATTTGATGTTTTCTGTGCTCATTTTCTTTCTGCACTGCGTTTCACCAAAGGCAGGTTTTCCTTATGTCGCCTTGTGCAAAAGTTTGGGCTCCCCTCATCAAATGTGCCATGTTTTGTTCATTTTCTAAGAACACATCCTCACACATTTTAACGAACAATTACAGTTTATTTGTTAAATGTAACATTTTAGAGAAAAAAATAAATAAACATGAAATATGGCCTGTGCAAAAATGAATGGCACATTTTGTATTTGATGCTTTATTTTTTCAAATATGTTAAAGACAGAAAATAAGTACAGATTGTGCACTAAAGTTTGCAGAAAAATCATATCAAATTTGTTCCCTGTAGAGGATGTTTTACAACAAAATACATAATTTGACCTTTTGCAAAGGACTGTAAATATTACATTTAACCATTAAACAGCATTTAAAATATAGCAATATTATCTACATATGCAGCAATTGTTAATTAAACACTTCTCAGATTACAAGAATGATAGATTCTTTGGAAGAGTCTCTTCCGAAGTCAGTAAGTCAGTAAGATCCTGCAGGCCGATTATAACTTCAGCTCCAGGTACGTTGTAAAAAATTAAAATTCAGGTCAACCTAAAATTTTAAGTAAACTTCTGCATAGCTTTTTACATTTTCTCAACTTAATTTAATCAGAAGTAGTCTGGTCTCAGTTGAGCTTACTCAAAAAAAAAAAAAAATCAATCAGTTTAGTCAATGCAAGCTCCCACACTCAGGCTATAACTCCCTATAGTGGGGCAGTCGTGGGCTGGAGGTTAGGGAACCAGCCTTGTGACCAGAAGGTCGCCGGATCGATCCCCTCAGCCGACAGTACGTGACTGAAGTGCCCTTGAGCAAGGCACCTAACCCCCAACTGCTCCCCGGGCGCCGTGGATAGGGCTGCCCACCAAGTGTGCTCACTGCCACCTAGTGTGTGTATGTGTTCACTAGTGTGTATGTGGTGTTTCACTGCACGGATGGGTTAAATGCGGAGGTCTAATTCTGATGTGTTCAGACACAGTTGGCTAAAAAGGTTCATTTCATTTTAGTGCCTCCAGCCTTTGGGGGATAAAGGCTTCCTAATGTCAGACCTCTGACCATGAAGGATCGTGGCGTCACCAGGATTCAACCTCAGTTAAGACAGTTGAATCACTTAGGAACACTGGTTAAATATCTATATATCCAAGAAAAAATATAAAGGTGACTTAACTCAGCCCTGTGCTTTTATCATCCCTCATACTCAGACAGAGAGCACAGTAAGTTGCCCTGGCTTGTATTGAAGAATCCAAACCCCAACCCTCACCAGGGGACCAGCCGTATGTCTGGAGAATTGAAGTTTATTTGTTGCGCGCAGATACCAGACACCTAGCCAGCCCGTAAGACAATAGACTGATGCAGTTTTATAGCGGGACTGATGCCAAGATTAGGCTCAGCCTATACATGACAAGTGACAGGTGTGACAGACGTGACCGTGTAGGGATAAACAAAAGTAAGCAGAGCAGAATGTTCTGAATACAATCACAGTACCGGCACACACAATACTGAATATAAGTGAAATATTCATAATAATAATATTTCATAATAATGAAATAACTTTTTGCAAACAAGCAAAGTTTCAGTTTAAGATTTATTTGCAACTTAGTTACAAACATAAATTAGCAAAAACAAATTTACCATAAAATGAAATAGTGTTTGTATAAATTCAGAAAAAAGACGCGTCAGTCACAACTGCATATGTGTACATATTTCTATATTTTGGTCTGTTTACACAAAGTTAGGCTAGTTCATCATTTATGTTGGAGTAGACACTCTCAAGCTTTTACACTGCTGCACTGACATTGAACCGTGTGCTGCACTGGGTCAGTATGACCAACAGGTCAAAACAAGCTCAAAACAAAGTGCGCTGTGCCCTGATTGGTGTTCTTGCTTTACGCTACTTTTGTTTTGGCGTTCCGTTTTTATACACACATAAACCAAAAGGAACGACAGGTTATGCATAATGTAGTGGAGTAAAAAGTGAGATATCTGACTTTGAAATGTAGTGGAGTGAAAGTGAAAAGTCGCCCAAAATGGAAATACTTCAGTAAAGTACAGATACACAAAAAACTACATAAGTACGGTAACAAATTACATTTACTTCGTTACTGTCCACTACTGGTCACAGAGTAAAAAAATGAATTACAGACATCCGCCTGATAAACTAATCCAGTCTGAGTAGAGCTTTTGTTTGCTTCTAAATACAATCCACAGTTATACCGTAACCTCTTTGTTTTGTTTCTTTCTTCTTTTGCTCTGACTTTTTCCACACTCTTTACCTGTCTGTTTTTCTCCCCTTGTGTGTATAGATGACTCAGGTGAGGAGGAGCCCACGTCCCGCTCCGACCGCAGTGAACTGCAGGGGGCGCTGAAGACCTTGGCCAGTAAACTGGATGACCTGTGTACGTGTAATGAGCTGATAGCGAAGCACGGTGCGGCCCTGCAGCGCTCCCTCAGCGAGCTCGAGGCCCTGCGTGTCCCGCTCGAGGGCAGCGAGAAGATCAAGGCCGTCAATGAGAGAGCCACTCTGTTCCGCATCACCTCCAATGCTATGATCAACGTGAGTAAACATGCCAGTTCGTACGCTGGCTTCACACGGAAACTTTCACGTTAAATGGTCATTTTAATTACATTAAGTACTAATCAGAACTAGAACTAACAGCTAATCAGAGTTGCATGCAGTTTGATTATATAACATTCATTTATTCTAGCTCAGTTCAGTCCAGTCCAGTTCCTAGACCTGACCGGTCATCGTGGGACTAGAGGGATGCTGTAGCTGACAGGGTTTACCCACTCTGGCCTCTGCTGGGCTGCAGCGGGCGGGTCAAACACGTGAACGTCTGTCCGCTAAAGATGTTCGCCAGACAATTCTCCCTCTGTTGACCTTGTTTTCAGCCTCCCTCAAGGGTATTCTGAAGGGCGGTCTTGGACATTGTGTTGTGGTGGGTCACGTGGCCAAACCAGGAAAGCTGCTGGTGCTTTATTATTGTCAGAAGGGGTTCACAGTGGTCCACCAGAGAGGTGACCATGCTTTGTACATAGTCATTGGTCTTACATTCTTCTATGCTTTTGAAACTGTTGTCAGTGCCTTACTAGCTTTTATATTAGTGGTGTCAATTGATTTAAAATAATTGAATTAATCACAATAATAGGTTGTGATTAATCATGATTAATCGTGAAGTTTAAATAGTATTTACTCGTATTTTTGTAAACGGCAGTGAAAAAGCATGGCTAAATTGTGCTTCGGCTGTGCCAGCGTTGCCTTAAGTGTGTCTTTGGACCCACTTTATCATTTCAGGGGTTGAATTCCAGCTTGTGGGGACATCCTGGATGAGTGTCTCCTCTTCTTGACCATGAGAGGCTTGCTGAACTTTCAGCTCTGCTGTGTTTGCAGGACCATGTTTGAAATGTCTGACTATTTTACGGCACTTGGCTAAAGCATCGACAAACCCGCTGTCACAGAGAGCCGCTGTGCCTCTGTATAACGTGCGCTGCACAGGGCAAATGCTCGAAACTTAGATTCCTTGCTGCCGCAATCATATTGCAAGCGCTATCTGTTCTTATAGTGGTGACCTTTAGTCATCCAGTTCCAGAGTTCCTCAGTCATCGTGTTATCTGTGTTTGTGCCTTTGAGGAAATCCGCGTGGGAATAACGGGAGGAAGTTGGGGTTAAACTTAGTAATATAATTAAATAAATTAATTAAAATTAAAATGTAATGTATTTTATTTGTTGTCGGAACAAAACCTCGTATCTCCAAAATGGTAACTTTACAGGAGAAGGAAAAAACCTACTTTACTTTTAATGTAAGTCAATGGAACCAGAATTTTTTCGAAGTCATTTTGGGTCAGTTCTTTTGGTCCATTCATCATGAAATTTACACACAATGTAAAGGGGAACAGGTATTTTCAAATTATGTCAAAAACTGAAAAACGACAAAAATTTAGAGGTGTGCATAAATCTGTACAGATTATGGAAAAATTACAGGATTATGGGATTATCAGAGATTTTTGCTTTTTTGGTATTATATGATTAATCGTGCTTAATATGACCAGGAACATGAACTAACAAGGTAAAAAGGTTACCTTTGATTTCAGGTTGGCTTTAATTGTTACAGAACCTTTATGTTATGTTGAGGTTTTTTAAACGTTAAAAAGGTTTCTAACAGGCGCATCTCATTGACTAATGTCCTACTTCTTTACTTATTTACTGCTCAGTTACATTGAAAGATTCTTTAGGGAGCCAGAAATGGCTCTTCTGTGCAAATGGATAGACCCTAATTTAAAACAGGAACAACAGAGCTGTACAAGAGAGATAACAGCATTCTAGGTTCACAAAAAATGAGAGCGAATATAAATGATAACTTGAAAGAGATTTTTTTTTAATGTGCAAGTGAATATTATAAGATCATGAGCAGAATAACTGTATGTATAACTACAGAAATACTATGATAATTCCAGACTATTGTTGAATAATAAACCTAAGTTTTCATGTTACACTGCTCAGAACCTTCCAGTCTGAATGAGGTCAATAACACTGTTGACTGAAAACTGACTCATTATAGAGCCTAATGGCTGTATGTCGGAATGACGAGCCAGGTAGATCATTGACTAATTAACCTTTTTTTCCTTGTAAATTGAAAAGGAAAACTGTACCTTATCCTGACCCTGTTTAACCTGGACAAATCACAAATCTAAGCAAAAAAACATTCTTCATAAAGTTCATACCGCGGCTTTTTTTTTTTAAATATCGCAGCACTTTACCTGAAAATATGAATTTACATCATCTGGAAGATGAAGAATATTCAAATCCTTTATGTTGTGTTTGGTTTCAGAGGTGCTCCAACAGTGTTTTGCTGCATCTCGCAACATCCACCGTCTGATCTCGCGCATGCACAGACTGAGAAATCCGATAGAAATCAGCGTAAGAGTTTACATGCACTGAGAAATCTGATTTATCGGATTTCTTAATCGGATTTCTAGATCGGCGTATGGTGTTTACATGACCATTTGAATAATCTGATAACTGCAGAAATCCGATTATGATTGGATTATTGAGTGCATGTATATGCACTCATTGTTTCTTCATTATTTATCATTCATACTTCATTAGACAAGTGTAGAAATTCTGATACATATTCTAACGTTTCAGTCTGTACATTTAACCTGCCATTTATATCTAAGATCTTAGAAAAAGCTGTAGCCCAGCAACTTAGTTCATATCTACATAAGAACCACATATTTGAGAAATTCCAATCTGGATTCAGGCCACATCACAGCACTGAGACAGCTCTAGTTAAGATAACAAATGATCTTCTTCTTGCCTCTGATCAAGGCTACATATCCCTGTTAGTGCTACTTGACCTCAGCGCAGCTTTCGATACGATAGACCACAATATTCTCCTTGAAAGGTTAGAAAACATGGTTGGAATCACAGGGACCGCCCTATCATGGTTCAACTCTTACTTAACAGAACGTTATCAGTTCGTAAAGGTAAATGACTTATCTTCCAGTTATTCACAAGTAAGATCTGGAATTCCGCAAGGCTCTATTTTAGGACCATTATTATTTACATTATACATGTTACCGTTAGGCACAGTTATAAGTAGCCATGGCATTAACTTTCACTGTTACGCAGACGATACGCAACTGTACATATCAGCCAAGCCTGATGACAAATACAGGTTAAAGAAAATAGAGGACTGTGTAAAAGATGTGAAGGGTTGGATGTCGCGTAACTTCCTCCTCCTAAACAGTAACAAAACAGAGGTTCTCCTTCTGGGTCCAAAAGTGGCAAGAAATAAATTATCAGATTTAACTTTAAATCTCGCTGACTTTCCAGTTATACCAGGTTCAGCAGCAAAAAATCTTGGTGTAATACTCGATCCAGATTTATCATTTGATCAACACATAGGCAGCATCACTAGGACAGCTTTTGTACATCTTCACAATATCGCCAGAATAAGAAATGCCTTATCGCTGCACGATGCAGAAACATTAGTACATGCCTTTATTACCTCAAGGCTAGATTGCTGTAACGCATTACTGTCAGGATGCACCAGCAGGAATTTAAGTAAACTTCAACTAGTTCAAAATGCTGCAGCCAGGGTTCTCACTAAAACTAGAAAATTTGATCATATCAGTCCAGTTCTATCATCACTCCATTGGCTGCCTGTTAAATTCCGTATAGATTACAAAATTCTTTTATTGACGTATAAAGCCCTACATGGGCTCCTGAGTACCTGCAAGACCTTATTTCCCTTTACGAGCCACCACGATTACTCAGATCACAGAGTGCTGGCTTTTTAATAGTTCCCAGAATTCAGAAGGTTTCATCTGGGGGAAGAGCCTTTTCTTATAAAGCCCCCAAACTCTGGAATGATCTTCCAGAAAATGTTCGGGACTCAGACTCAGTTGCAATCTTCAAATCTAGGCTGAAAACTCATTTGTTTAGTTTAGCTTTTGGTAGCTAATGTTTCCCCTTGGATAAAGGCCATGGACGCAGGGAATTATAGTAAACTGAGACTGGTGCTGTCGTCCCGCCGCTCACACGCGATCACTCAGGTTTGTGGACGGTGGAGCGGAGGAATGCCAGATTGTTTCAGGGTGCTCCCGTGTCTGTGTGCCCTTTCGGTTCTCTCTTTTTAGTTAAGCTGTTATAGTCAGATCTGCCGGAGTCGTTAGCCACACTCTGGAAATGTTTTACATACTACTATACATACACCCATACAGAAATAAACTAACTCCATTTCCCTACCTTTCTTCCGAGAAAACGACTGCCCACCTGTCCGGCCGGACACTGCTGGATGATTGTTTGTAGAGCTCTCCGGCTACCCGCTTCAGACCAGTTACCCACAACCCAGTCACCGCCACCTGCCTTGGACTGGCTGCCCACTCTACACTGAAGTCTCCTAACTATTACTACTATTACTATTAATATTAGTAGAATAATAATTTTGTACGTAGTTTGACCAGAGGAGGATGGGTCCCCCCATGTGAGCCTTGGTTCCTCCCAAGGTTTCTTCCTCAACTGAGGGAGTTTTTCCTTGCCACTGTCGCCCCTGGCTTGCTCACCTGGAGGATTTACATTTCATGTTGAAACTTTGTTCTAAACGGATTTCTGTGAAGCTGCTTTGTGACAACATCAGTTGTAAAAAGCGCTATACAAATAAATTTGATTTGATTTACATTTATGCAGTACAAGAAAAGGAGATATTTTATTATGACTGGACTTAAATGGCAAGTTGTTTAACCTCTTATTGACCAGGGTATATTTTGGTTTGTCCATATGAATTTACATGACCAAATCGTAAGGCAAATTATTCAGTTACTGCATGAAATAAATGTAAATTTTTATTTTATTTTTTTATTTTTTTGTAAAAACTCCCCTCAAATTAACAGAACATGTTTTATGATCATAAACATGTTGCTATATGCTTACAACTTACTGCTGAAAGCCAAAAATCTCAGACGCTCTTTGTACTTTTTTATAAAAATAATTTTTACAGTGCAGATCACTGAAGAGACGCCGTCTGTTTATATTTTATAGCCCAGATTTGTGGA